CGTTGTCCCCACAGTGACGGAGCCCTGGTGTTGTTTCCGCCATCAGGGCGCCTGCCAGTGGGTCACTCTGGATTTCCCCCGCGCCGTCAAGGTCTCGCAGCTCCACGTCCAGTTCCAGGGGGGATTCTCCAGCCAGCTCTGCACGCTGGAAGGTGAGGAGCTGGTGTGGGGGCATGGGGGGGGGTCCCTCTGCCTCAGTTTACCCACACCTGGATCCCACAGCTCTTTGTTGTGAGGCCCAGGGCTATTTGTCAGCCGTTCCCAAAACCCAAGAGAGTCTGGGGCCATGGAACAGAGAGTGGGGAATAGAGAGGACTGGGGTTCTCCAGAACGCTTTGAGTGCAAGAAGGAGCCTGGCCCATTGCTGGGGACCTGGGACCAGTGCTCCCAGGACTGCACTGGAGGATTTGGGGGGCATTTGGAGGCTCCCTCAGCACACTGCACTCTCCACAGGCTGCAGAGCCGGCGAAGAACTGGTGAAAATATCCGACCTGTACCCCAAGGACACCAACGCCATGCAGATATCCTTTGCCACGATGCAGGTTGGCATGGGGGGGGGGCATTCAGAGCTGCGGGGGGATGAGGGCAGAGCTACAATTTAAACAACAGATCTGTGGTTTAAATGACAGATCTGCAGGTAGCTGCTGGCACTTTGCTACTGCTAAAGTAACAGTGGAGCTGGAGCAAATCCGGACATCCTCAGCCATGGTGCGTGGGGGTGCAAGCCCCCTTGGAGAAGGTCTTCCACATATCGTGGTGCCCCTGTCTGTTTTTCTCCTTTATGCCCCCCCCACAGATTCCAGGTGGAGGAGACGGTGCTGGAGAAGCTGAAGATCACCTTTGGGAGCAGCACTGACTTCTTCGGGAGGATCGTGGTGTACCACCTCGGGGTGCTGGGCGAGAGGCTCTAGGGCAGCAGCAAGGCACAATGTTGGGGGCTGCCCCCCCCATTGCCTGAGTTCCCCCTCCCCAGAGATGTGCTGGGGGCAGTGAAACAGGGTGGCAAACCTTGAAGTGTTGCCCCAAATTGCACCCCAAAGCAGTGAGAGGGACCCCACAGGATGGCCGTGACAGAGGGACACCAGGTCTGTGTGCTGGACTGCTGAGCCCTTGGTGGGACACAGCCTGTGTAACCAGTGAATAAACGGTGTCCCCACTCCTTCCTGGCTGCTCCTTGGGCAAGTGCACCCTGGGACCAAGCCCTTTGGGGTTTGCCATGGCCGCACCAGTGCATGGCTTGAACAGGAGAGAGAAGTGTCCCCTCTGCGTGCCGTGGGCTCCGCTGTCTCTTGCATTTGCCAACAACCCCTGACCTCCGTGGAGTGGCCATTTGTGGCCTCGCTGGGCTCTGGCTCGGGATCGCAGCGTGCCAGGGCCATGCTGTGCTCCTGGCTGGCAGGGTGATGCTTCCTGGGGGGTTTTACTCCTGCCTGTGGTTATTTTCCTGGCTGGTTATAGTGGTGCATGCAGAGACAGCTTTGTTTATAGTGTGAGAGGGAGCATCCCCCTTCAAAGAGACAGCTCCAGAGAGGAATACTGGGGGGTGCAAAGGGTGGTTGGCCCCGTAGCTGGTGCTGGGATTGGGGACTGGCAGTGAACAGGGCTCCACACGGCTGCTTTAGAGTTTACTTCCAATAATGCAATACCTGAATACACACACCCACGAAGCAGCTGAGCCCAGACAGGGCAGAAATGCAGCTGCCCTGAGGAATGAGTGTCCCTGGATGCGAGGCATAGCTGTGCCGCCCTCCGGGAGAGGCACAGATCCACTGAGGGCAGGCGGCTCCCGGCTTCCTCCGCGTGCTCCTTGCTTGAAGCATCGCGCTGGTGCCCGATTTTGGATGGGTGGATGAGGCCATGGTGGTCCCAGAGGAGAGCTCTGCATCAGCTGGGAGAAGCACTGGGGCTGCAGCGGTGCAGCACGAGCCATGGCATCACTCCTTGTTCTGAAATAGCTTGAGGATGTGATTTTCGATCACCTGCTGGACTAACAGAGGGGAAAGAAGTGAAACCCGGGGAAGCCAAGCCTGTGAGAAGCCAGGACTGCTGCGGGCAGGACCTGGGCACCACTTTGCTCCCATTTTCCTCTGGTTTGGAGGGGGAGCAAGGAGAACTGGACCCATCCCGATTTCTCAGAGCAGGGAGCTGTGGTGGAAGGTCAAAAAGAAACTCGTGCAAGGCTGGAAGCTGGGAATTGCCCTGAGGATTTTTGGGGAGGGAAGGCAGGGCTCCCTGCCAGGCGTGGAGAGGACATTTACCTTTCTTGTGTCCCAAGGCCACAGCCAAATCCATCGGAGTGTAGCCAGAATCTGCCTCCGTCGTCAGGTCGGCGCCACGAGCTGCAAGCAGGCATTGGAGATCAGGGCATGGCATCCCCTCCGGCTCAGGCACAGGGTGAGGGGACCCCCAAAAGGTGCCCATCCTGACACCCCGTGTCACCCCCAGGCTGCTCAGTTTCTCCCCCCAGGGGTGTCGCGCTCTCTCCCCGACGCCGTTACCGACAAGCAGCGATTGGAGGCCAAGGACTGAGTGCAGCTCTTTCCTGTTACCTAGGAGGGCCTCGACACACTTGACGTGATTGCCACGCACGGCGTAGAGCAGAGGGGTGCCGCCGTTCTGCAGGGAAAGGGAAGGGGCTGCGTCATTGCTGGCCTCCCTGGGGCCGTGCTCCTGCTTCTCCCGGAGCAGTGGATCCCCGATGTGCTGGGATCCCCTTTCTGCCCTCTCCCAGCTGGCTGTTTTCTCGCAGAGCGGCTCTGTGCAGGTTTTATTCTCTGTGTGCCACACAGTAACTTTTAAATTGTGTAATTTTAAAGACAACCTTAAGTTCTGAGCACTGTTTCCTTGTGGCTCGTAACATCGCCAGTGTGAACAACTGAGGAAACCATTTAAAATTATTATCCAGATTAATTTCTCGAAACGACCGCATGAGCAGGCAAATGAGTGCTGCGAGCCTGGGAAGCAGCCAGGAGAGAGGCACTGCTGCTAACTCAGCCCAAAGCGATGTGAACTCACTGCTGCTTTTTTACAATGAGCTTTGTGGAGCGGCCTGCGCCCGGCAGCACTCACCCAGTCGTAGATGTTGATGTCCACGTTCCTCTCCAGCAGCATGACGACGATGTCGGTGTAGCCGCCCATGCTGGCCAGGGACAGGGCGCTCTCCCGCTCCTTTGCCAGCGCATGGGGGTCAGCGCCCTGGGGACAGTGTGGGTGTTACCCAAAACAGAGCCCTACTGGGTGCTGGGGACCCCTGGGGCTGGTGATGGAACCAGGGCCTGACAGCCTCATGGGGCAGAGACGGTTCATGCCTTCCCAGTGCCCTCTCCTTCCCAAAGTCCTTACTGGGCATATTTTAATCATCGTCAAACATCTCAGGTGAGGACTTAAAAGCCCTTCTCCAGTGTCAGAAAACTAAGCCTGATGGTTGCTATTACTCAGCCTTTTTTCCCCATCACTGGTAACAGCATTACCAGCCCTGTCCTGAGGTGTGTACGGTATCCACCATCTCTTTTGTTACTAATTTACCTAAAAAACCTCCCTGTTCTCATTCCTGCCAGCCATGGACCTCTCCTGGAGTTCATTAGAGCCTTTATCAATGTCTCACCTCATTTATTTTGGGCTCTGTTGGTCTCTCTGGGAATGTATTGCCATTTTGCTGCTAATACAGCAACAGAGCCAGGGTTTGGCCAGTGCTTATGTGGTGTGAGTGCTCGCTGATCGCTGGATGCACATGGATGTGGGGCTGAGCTTTGGGGAGCAGCTCAGTCAGGTTCTGCAGGAGGATCTGGTTCTGCTCACCCCCAGGCAGCCCTCGACTGCGAGCCTGGCACTCAAGGACGATGCAGCAATGAGTTCATTAACTGCAACAATACCTCAGCGAGCACATTTGCTGGCAGATTACAGGGCCCAAGTGATAAGCCTGGTCTCAAATTACCAATAAGCAGATATTTAATTACAAACAGTTATTGCTAGCTGTGAGATAAGGCTCCTCATGCTCCTGACTTAGCTCATGGCCCAATCGGGAGCAGCATCTGAGCCGTTAGTGCTGCAAACATGTCCTGTTTGGTGCCATGGGGAAAGTTGGCTGAGACAGTACCAGGATGGTGCTGGACAATTTGGGAGCCAGGGGGATTGGAGATGACAAATCTTGTGTTAATGAGGTGCTGCGTGAGTGTGGCCTTACCCATTCCAGCAGGTGACGAACCGTTTCGATCTCTCCGAAGGCTGCAGCCCAGATCAGCGGCGTGAAACCCCTCTCATCAGGTTTATTTACCAAGTTCTCACCTGCACACACAGGATGAGAGATCATAAACAGGAAAGGTAAAGTTCCCTCTGCTCCCTGTCCTCCCAGTAAACCCAGCAAAAGCTGTAAAACCCAAAGGACACGTACCTTTCCGAAGGTGCTCTTTCAGTTGGCTGAGCTCACCTTGGGCAGCAAGCTGATGGATGGATAACGCTGGGGGATCGAAAGAATTCACCCCTCAGGACAAACTTTCCTCAGCTCAGCACCCTCCATCTGCAGGTGGGTCCCTGCAGTTCTGGGCTAGTCAGCCTCAATCTGAGCCCCAAAAATCCTGATGGGTAACTAACACCCTTCTGCCGTACAGCAGCAGGGACATAGCGAGTGCTGAGAGCATCAGCACTGCAGGGAGCAGCCTGAGAGGCCACCACGGCAGACACGGAGCAGTGTGGGAGCAGGAAACGGTTCCTCTATCCCGTCCCCTACACCCATCTGCAGTCTGAGATGCACAGCCCCCATGGGGCTCACTGTACTCACTGTCCAGTGTGGCTGGGAGGGCCGAGACCTCGTTACCTCGCTGCCTGTTTGTCAGCGTGTTGGAGTGCTTCAGGGGGAAGCCTGTTCCAGAGAGAGGAGGGAGTCAGGGCACATCTCCTCCATGCTACACTGACTTGAGACCTCATGAAAGCTCAGGTCTCATGTGCCTTATCTGAAGCTGTTCCTTCCTCTCCCTGGCAAAAACTGGGTCCTGAAGAGAATTAATTGTTCCCTTGTGAGCAAAAAGCCTGGAGACTGAGGTCTGACCAGTGGCCAGGGACCAACAGCTGAGCAGGGAGGATAAAACAGCCCCAGCAGCTGCCCAAGGAGGGGCAGGGGCCATCTGGGGCATGGCGGGAGAGATGGATTTGGCATTAATGGCAATTAATGGCATAATTGCCAACAATATACTGCAGAAGACAGCCTGTGGGATGCACTCAAGTCCATCCTCATATTTCCTATCCTTGAAGAGTTTCACTTGGAAAACTCAATGTGTTTTCAACAAGCGATTTGTAGCGTAATTAGGAAAGTACATGGGAAGAGTTGGCCGTCTCTGCACAGAGCTGCAGCGACCTCTTACTGCTGGCACGAGTCATCAGCAAGGTCTGGATTCGGACTTGGCTTTGCCATGTTAAGGAAGGGATTGGCAGCAGTTAAAGATGTTTTTCTAGCTGCTTTTGTGGGCTGCCAGACTCAGACGACCTCTCCCACACCTGATTATGCCTGAGCATCTGCAACACTCACTGTCAAGGGCAGAGAGCTCGCTGCTCCTCTGCCTGTCCATCGAGGCAGCCAAGGGCTTCGGGAGGGCGTCTGCTCCACCTGCAAAACCAGGGTGGCTGTTATGGACCTCGGTTCTGCTCGTGGTGGAGCAGACTGGGCTCCACACACGGCACGAGACCCAACCAGCACGGCAAGGACCCCATGTGTACCCCAATCCCAGGGCACGTTCCCACTTTACAGGGGGACAGACGCTGCAGGAGCCTGGGTCCATGCATGCTCCCACCACCCGGTCACCCCCAGCACTCACCGTCCCCATGGTCCAAGTGTGGCGTGTCCTGGTCCAGCTGCAGATGCCCCGGAGGCGCATCACTGTCCCTCGTGTCCCTGGTCCCAGCCAGGTCCTCTGCCGCT